CCTCAAGGGGGTTTAGGTTTAGGATTATGCAGAAGGGTCCCAGGTTGAGGGACACATAGAGCCGAGTTCGGCTCCAGGATCTCGCCAGGGAGTTACATTCTCCCCCAGCTCTTTTACGGAAGTCGCGAAGAGCTAGTCCGGGGCCTTCGTGGAGCGGAGAGGCGGGAACTGCAGTTCCAGGCCCGCCCCTCCAGACTCCGCCCAACCGCGAACCCGCCCCCGCCCTCCCACCCCCGACCGAGCCAGCTTCGAACTCCCACCTCCCTCCCGAGGCTGCCTTATAAGGAGCCTCCATCGGGCGTTCGGGTTGGCCCCACCCCCTCCAGTCTCTTGTCCTAATAAGGACATCTAGGGCATCCCGTGGCTAGGGGCGGGCGGGAGCGTGTCTCCAGGGTAACTTCGAAGTCTCTCTCCCCCTCCTCGTTACTCTTGGAAACTCCGAGGCTTGAAAAAAGTGGAGCCAGTCTCCTTTTCTGGGAGGGTCGCTTACCCGGCTGGGGGCCGAGCGGCGGCCTCCACCTGGGGCTCCCGGGAACTCGGTTGGTGGGCGGTGCAGCGGGATGTCCCTGACTACAACCCCCGGCATGCCCTGCGAGGTGCCCCACTCCCGGTCTTGAAGACCAGGCTTCCAGCTCTTCATTTACACTATTCAGCTGATGGGACCAATACTCCCAGTTCCCTTGTTTGCGACTCTAGTGTCTTTCGGCAGAGCCTAAGGCCTTGGTCGTAGTGCGAGGCCAACGAAAACTTCCCGTAGTCCCCACCCGTTTCTTTTTTCGGAACTTAGGCTAACACAGAGCTGTGTCTTAATTTTTCCGGGTTTTAAGTTAACTGTATGCCTGGCTATCCACTCGAGAACATGATTCAAGTCTGGTTTAATATCTATTTCTTCTTTTCACTGTGTTTAGTAAAAGGCACACAATCTTTGGATTGATCGCACAACCCCCTGCCCTTCTCCCTTTATTTTTCGTGAATTTGCCAGACAAACAAGGACAAAGCTCTATTTTTAAAGACTTCCTTGTAGCCTTTCTCTTGTGTTTTTTCCTCTTACTCTAATTTTATTGAAGTTGCATATGGCCTTTTCTCAGGAGACGAGTGGCTTTGCATATGAAGGGTGCTCAATGAATTGTTTATCGGGTTGAAGACACTTTACACTTGCGATTCTCCTTGCTCTATCTAGGACTAGATTCCAGGCCAATAAATAGTTGCTTCAATTCAGAAAAGCAAAACACTAAACTCAGAATTTTCAGACCAGAACCTGCCAAGATGGATCTTAGGAAACAGTTTCGCCGCGGGTGAAGAGCGGCGAGGTCGAGGGCTCATTTTCGGGTCACATAACCTAGCGCGGGGGGCCTTTGTTCAGCTGAGCGTTTCCTAGAAAATTCGACCAATGGGCGCGCTCTCCGTGCCATAGCCCTAGTCCCTCTTTGCTGTCTCGGACTACATTTCCCAGCATGTAATGCGGCGCTGGGAGGCCGGCTGGCGAAAAAGACTCTGTTACCCAGTGAGCCCGAGGACGGCGCAGGACCCTTGGACTTCGTTTCCCGTCGGCCCATGGGGGGAGCGCCGGAAGCCCGCCCCGCCCCTCATTGTGCGGCTCATACTAAACGGAAGGGGCCGGGAGAGGCCGCGTTCAGTCGGATCCCGGCAGCAGCTGCAGAGGCTCTCATCTCTTCTGGCTCTCCTTGCTATCTTCCTTTCGCTTCCGGAAACATGGTGAGCAGCAGGCCTTGGCGACTGACGGGAGGCGGCTGCGAGTTGGTCGTCTGCGCGCAGGGGAGGGAACGGTGGAGCGACGTCGGCACCCCCTCCCCCAGCGCCCCGGGCGGGATGAGGGTCTCGGGCTGAGGGGCGGGCGGCGTTGGGACGCGCGTGCGCGCCCGCGGGCGCTGGAGAGGGCTGGCTCGGCCGTCGCTCGCGCGCCCCCTGGACTCCCTTCCCCTCCCCCACCACGCTGCTGCGCCCGCGCGGACACCGGCTATGGGGGAGGGGTCCGTGGCGCGCGCGCGCCCGCCCCTCGCGGAGCTGCCGGTGGCGCGCGCTGAGGCAAGTCGGTTCACGGGGGCGCGCGTTCTACGGGAGCACGCGGCCTCCGAACCCGGCCCGGGGGCGGCGAGGGAAAAGCGCGCGAGCGGTCTCGGCGCGCGCGCCCCACCCAAGGGCTGTTCTGTCTCCGCGTCACCCTCCCTCGGCTGGCGGGTCTGTAGAGAGCAGGTGGCAGGGATGTCTGCGCCCAGGAGGGGCGGGGGCGGAGGGCCAACGGGGATGCGGGCGCGGAGGGGTCCGAGTGCTAGCGCTGGGGATTAGGGGCTTGCACCGCGCGATCCGGAGCTGCGGGTTTGCACCGCGGAGGTCACGGCCCTGCGAGGGAGCCCATAAAGCGATTTGGGTTCTCTGCTCTGTACATCCGGCAAAGGCTGGAACGGCACAGTCGGCCGGCGCGTGCGCACACGCTCAGGCCCCCCGCCGCTGGGCCCGAAGCCCTGGACAAGCGGGGCCTTCGGCTCTCCCGGATGGGGCCTGAGGGTGGAGCCGAGTTTAGGGAAGTGACCCAGGCAGGCACCGCCCGGAAACCACCCCGCCCCCTGTGTTCGGCCCCAGGGCTACGAGAACTGAGGGTTGTGTAACTCGTCCAGGCTCCGGTCCGCAGCGGAGGGGGCTGATACGCTTGTCGGTAAAGGCGATTCCTCGGGGTTGAGGTTCTGGGGTGCTACTGCCTCCGGGTACTGCTTTCTCCCGGACGGGGCCGGACCCCGGCGAGCGCTTCCCCCCCCCCCGCCTACGCCGGAAGCGGCTGAGTCACGTGGCCGGCTTCCTCTGCAGTTCCGGGAGCGGGGGGCGCGGCAGTTTTCACTGTGGACAGTAGCCCCCCTCCTGGCTAGGGTGTCCCCCCAACACGACCCAAAATAGACGTTTAAAGAGCTCTCGAGGACCGTGGATATTTGGTTCTGACCTGCTAACTTATGTCACCGACCTTTGGGTCCTACATTTTCCCGGAGGACGGGGAGTTAATGGGTTAGGGCTTTGATTAGGGATTGTGATTCTTGCCTTGGTTGAAGAAGACCCCAGCAAAGAAGAGGGTGGTGGTTTGTGAACAACTGCACTGAGTAGTTCTGATGGACTTAACGAGAACTGTTAAACTCGTTGGTGTCCTGTCTATCATTGTGGGATCCTGGTTCTCCTTCCAGAAGAGATGGTTATAACCTGGGTGCCTTGAGTCTCCCTTTCCTATGTGAAATTTTGAGTCAGCACTATTATCCAAAAGCTGAGATGGAGTACTGTGAGTAAGAAACGAGTCAGTAGCCTGTGGATTCTTTTAGTTCTGGGCTCACATCAAAGCCAAGGTTCTGCTTCTTACAGGTCCTCAGTTTCTAGGCTGTAAGATGTTGGGTGAGGAAAAATGATGTTGAATTAGATGATTAGAGGTTTCTTCTAAGGCTGCCATTCTGGGGTTTTCTCTTTGGTCCTTGGACAGTGGCTTGGGTGGGAAAATAGTGACACTTGGCTTGGGAAGGGGAATTGATGGTCTCTTGGTTGAGGACTTGTTGGCATCCAAGACGGATCTCTTAAGATTGCAAAGGAGGGACTTCAGGGGGAGTCCCAAAGTCTTTCTTTTATGAAGTATATGTGGCTCGTCCCCTAGGCCTCCGGCGTGGCGGTCTCTGACGGTGTCATCAAAGTGTTCAATGACATGAAGGTGCGCAAGTCCTCAACACCAGAGGAGGTGAAGAAGCGCAAGAAGGCGGTACTCTTCTGCCTGAGCGAGGACAAGAAGAACATCATCCTGGAGGAGGGCAAGGAGATCCTGGTAGGTGATGTGGGCCAGACTGTAGACGACCCCTACACCACCTTTGTCAAGATGCTGCCAGACAAGGACTGCCGCTATGCGCTCTATGACGCAACCTATGAGACCAAGGAGAGCAAGAAGGAGGACCTGGTGTTTATCTTCTGGTGAGCTCCCCTGCGGGCGCTTCTTCCTACCACTTGCCCTAGCTCTGCCTCGCCCTCCTTTCTCAGCATGGGAACCTCTGTGGGTTTGGGGGGAGGGTGTTGTAACAGAACACTTGCTGGTGGGGAACTTGGTCAAAGCTTCAGTGCTGGGACCAGTTCAAGGGTTTCTCGAAGTCTTCTCTCACTTGAGGGCACTTGCAGACTTGGAGAGGGAACTTTGTTGCATGTTCTCTGACTGTCCTTTTCCTCCAGGGCACCGGAGTCTGCACCCCTTAAGAGCAAAATGATTTATGCCAGCTCCAAGGATGCCATCAAGAAAAAGCTGACGGGTAAGGGCCAGCATCGGTGCCACGCACTTTTGTGCTCAGGCTTTGGCTGCCGGGGTGGGTGAAAGGCATGGTATATGAGATATCTCCCCCCTCCTCTTCCCTGCCTGCTGGAAGGTAACCTTGTCCCTTCCATCTGTTCTGATTGGCTCCTTCCCAGCCCCAACTTCCCCTCCCCCAATGCATCCTGCTCACAGATGCTCCCCTTCTTCCTCACAGGGATCAAGCATGAATTACAAGCAAACTGCTACGAGGAAGTCAAGGACCGCTGCACCCTGGCAGAGAAACTGGGGGGCAGTGCTGTCATCTCCCTGGAGGGCAAGCCTTTGTGAGCCCCCTCCAGCCCCCTGCCTGGAGCATCTGGCAGCCCCAGACCTGCCCATGGGGGTTGCAGGCTGCCCCCTTCCTGCCAGACCTGAGGGGCTGGGGGGATCCCAGCAGGGGGAGGGCAATCCCTTCACCCCAGTTGCCAAACAACCCCCCCTCACCCCCCTGGACCTTCCTCCTCCCTCCATCCCTGACGGTTCTGGCCTTCCCAAACTGCTTTTGATCTTCTGATTCCTCTTGGGTTGAAGCAGACCAAGTTCCCCCTAGGCACCCCAGTTTGGGGAGGCCTGTATTTTTTTTTAACGACACCCCAATTCCCTACCTGTTCCCCCCTTTTCCCATGCTGCCAACTTCTAACCGCAATAGTGACTCTGTGCTTGTCTGTTTAGTTCTGTGTATAAATGGAATGTTGTGGAGATGACCCCTCCTTGCGCCGCCTGGTTCCCCTGCCTTTTTCCCCTGGTCTTGGCCACCCATGGAAGCAGGACCAGTAAGGGACCTTCAATTAAAACAAAACAAAACAAAAAAAAACCACACACACAACAATAAAAAGGCTCACTAATGGGATGTTTGTTTCAGGGTTGGGGCCCAGGGGACCTTGCAGGGGAAGGTATGCTGAGGTAATGAACAGCATGTCTTCTCTATACCCAGCTTCCATCCACCCCCTTAATTTGGCCCCAGCGACTGGCTGAGCCTCCTCTGACAGTGGTCACTCATAGGTGGTACCACAGTTGGGCCCAAACTGACCGCTGGGGAGTTAGCTGAACTGGGGTTTGTGTCCTGCCAGCTGCAGGAGCCCTTTGGTCAGAAGGGGCTTTGTGCCTGAACTCTTTCTCCTGTAGCCTCTTACTCGGGTGGGCAGCTGGGCAGTGAGACCTATTCTCCAGCCCCATGCTCAGGCCTGCCTAGTGTGGGTTGTGAGATTGCAAGTTACAAAGCGCTTCTTGAGCTGTTCGGTCTTCAAGGTTCTCTCTGGTTTTTCTCTGCCTTCTTTCATGGATGGCTGACTCATTTATGAGGGCCGGGTCCAGTGGCTGCTGTGAGTCAGAAGCCAGTGAGCCTTTGGCCTTCTGTAGATGTGACGAGTCCAGGGTGGGGCCAAGCCAGGTGGAGCCCAGGACTTCAGACCCAAGTGTCTTGGGTCCCACTTCCCTGTGTTTAACCAAGAGGTTGTTGGCTAGCATTGCTGCAGGCTCTCGCCAATCTGTACTTCGGGTTTTTGCCTGCCTGGGAGGTAAAGGTATCCTAGAAATCTCACCCTAAGGGTGTGAATGCAGGGTTTATTACACACCCCAACCTGAACTGTGGGGGAAAAAAGCCTGTTAAAGGTGGTTCCTTAGTTTAGAGCTTGCCAGTATCTCTAAGTTGGAAGCAGGAAGGGTAGATATTTTTGACACTGCAGGGGGTGGTGCACAGGGCCTGGTGTCCATAGTGCCCGGTAAAGGTGTACCTGGTGGGCTCTGGAGCTGTGGGAAGTAAGGACAAGCAGGCCTCCTGGCTACAAAAAGCAGGCTTTTTATTTGTGAACAGGCTGGGGACAAAACGAGCTTTGGCGGGGTCGGGAGGCGCAGAGGGTTGGGGGCAGCCTCTCAGACTCCAGGAGAGGTGGGAGGTCCAGGCTCCCGGCCTCCCCTAGGCTGGGGTTCTTACCTGTGGCCCAGGTATGGTACCCATGTTGCCCTAGCTTTCTCTTGCAGGACCTGGCACTTTTGGGTGGGAGTGGGGCTTGGGCTTGCCCTGGGAGATCACGGGGCATGGCTAGTGGCTGCTGTGGTTGGGGAGGTGGTATCTTGGGGTGGGAAATCTGGGGGACTCTTGCCACTAAAAGCCCTGAAGTAGGCTCTGGCTGCACTAAGGCTCCCCCTTGAGGGCGACAAGGGTGTTCCGGAGAAGCAGGGTGCTGGCCTGCAGAGGAGAGAGGTCTTGATGTCCCCCACCCACTGCCTGATAAAATGTGCTGTTCTTTCCACACCTAATAACTCCTGCCCTCCTCCCTCTTGCATTCCTGTCCTTAGCAATAATAGCTGCCATTTACTGAGGGCTTAGTAATGAGAAGGGAAGAGTCCTGGTCCAAGATGGAACGTGACCGTGAAAGTCAATGGGGGCTGCTCAGGGCTGCCAGACCACCTTCCCCCAACACATGTTTGCCAGTACTTGGTAAGAACCTAGAGGTCTGGGAGTGGATGGCAGGAAGGCAGCAAGAGGGCGCAGTGAGGGTGGAGGGCTCACCTTGGCATGTTTGAGCTCCAGCTCTGCCAACTCTATGAGGTTCTTGCGGAAGGAGGAGACCCGGCGGGACTTGAAATCCATGAGCTCTGGAGGGGAGGGAGGAGAAATGGGGGCCCCGGCAGGGTAGGCAGCCCAGTGGCAGGGTCTCTGGGGCCATGGGGCTTACCCTGCTTGGCTGAGTCAGAGAGGCGTTCGAAGCGTTGGCAGCACTGTTGCTGGTGGCTCTCAGCAGTCCGAACCTCCCGGTTCCTAGTGCGTGCCTTGTCCAGGGCCTTGTTGGCATTCTCATAGTCAGCCAGTGCTCGAAGCCGCCGGTACAGCAGGTCCTGGGGCCAGCAGGGGTGCGGGATCACTGTTGCCCATTGCCTCATCGGCCTGCCCTCCCCTGTTGCTCCAGTCCTGCTGTCCTCCAGCCCTGAAGTTTGTTCTGGGGCCATAGCTCACCTTGGCTGCCTGTGAGTCTCGCATGTAGTATCTAAGCATGTCTGACAGCTTGAGGTCCTCATCAGACGCCACTCGGCCCTCCAGCTTCTGAATCAGGAAATTTGGAGGCTGGGGAGGGAGCTTGCAGAGGAGCTGCTAAGGGCTGGTGTGTTGCTCATCTCAATATCCAACAGAGTCACTTGATAACCACTCTAGGTCAAACCCTGATGTTCAGGGGAGCAGGCCAAGGAAAACTTGACAGAGGAGTGGCATCTGACCTGGATCTTGGGGGTTGACTGGGAATCAGACAACAGCCAAAGGCTCTGCAGGTGTGCAAGCCTCGTATGTGTTCAGGGAACCGTGAGGTCGGTGGGAGCATTTGGATGGCAGTGGCTGGATTCCAAAAGACCTAAAATGTATGCTAAGGACTTTGGGCTTTGTGTTTTGGGTAGTTTCTGGGAGGGGCAGGGTCACTGAAGGTCCCTGAGAAGAGAGGTAGTCCAGCAGACATTTTAGAAAGATTGGCACACTGCAGTGACTCTTGGAGAAGAGTTCAGGAAGTGTGTGTCTGGGGGAGGACGTTGGCAATGTGGTGCAGCCTGTCAGAGGCACGTGGCACATCCTTGTAAATGGCCTGCCAGGCCTGGCTCCCACCCCTGCCCGCATCACTGCACACACACACTTGGCTGGATCCCTGTCCCCCCTCCATCTCATTTCACTAGGGTTTAACTGAGGGTGAGTCCAGGGTATCAACTGGGCCCAAGTTATCACCAAACGTTCCAAAATGATCCTGGAGCTCCCTCCTCTTTCAGGAGGAGATATTTTTTCCCTGCAAAGGATCATTGATTGGGTGCCCTTCCAATACAGAAGGCAGGACTCACCCTTAGTCGTTCAAAGAGTTCTGCCAATTTGAGGAAACTCCTAGGAGGCAGTGGGGGAGAGTTAGGGCAAGGGTCTTGAGAGGGTGTTGCTTAAAGCCTCCCTGCCCTTAGTGCTGCTGTCCCTAATGCCCTGCAGTGGGGAAATCTCCCTCTGCTCTTTACCAAATCCCAGCAGGAACTTCACCTCCCACCTACAGCTGATGGTACATTTCCACAGTGACTCCTCATGGGCAGACACAGTATTACAGGCATAGAGAGAGGTGGGGGGCAGGGGCAGGACGGGTGAGAGAGAGTCCTCACGTCTTTAGCTGGTTGACTTCCTGTGTTCCCAGACTATTCAGTGCAGCAGAGAGAGGGATAAAATCATCTGCCAGGCCTGTTGGGGAACAGCCCTTCATCAGACCCCCTTGGTCTGCACATCAAGCCCCACCCCCGGTGTTTGTGTCATGGAGAGACACAGGGCATTTCTTGCTCTCCTCTCCCCACAGAGAGTAGGAATGCTGAGTAGGAATGCCGGGGAGAAGGGGCAGGGAACCCAGGGCCCCTTGGGCCCTGCGTACACTTGTGGGAGTGCATGACACGGTCTGCCCGCAGGCAGGCATCCCGGATGCGGGTGTGGTACTCCAGCAGGAAGGTCCTCTCATGCTCGAAGAAGTCATCCACCTCCTAAGGGAGCCAGACAAGAGCCACTTACACGGAGTCAGCAGGGACACGGCGGCCATGGACACGCAGGGGCAGCACAATTTCCCTCTAGGCCATGCCCCACCAGTGGTTTCCCTCCCACAGCCACCCTGGGCCTCAGTGTTTGCTGTGGACTTGAGGCCCTGGGTTGAATCCACAGAGGGGTCCCAGGGGTCACCTTTAGCCCTGACATGCTGGTGATAAGGGCTTCATCTGCAGACTTCACAATATTCCTCAGAAATCCTCCAAGAAGCTCCTTCCTGTTCTTTCCTCGGACACTCAGCTGAAGCACACGGGCGGAGAGTATGGTGTTGGGGTGGGCACTCGCACCTCCCACCCCAGGCTCATGTCACTCCTGGAGCCGATGAGACGGAGGCTTGAGCCCACCTAGCGCCCTGCCCCCTACCCCCAAGGGTGACCCAAGGGTGTGCTCTGGCCCAGCTCACATCCTGGCCATATTCCAAAAAGACAAAGAAGTTGTGGTCTCGACGCAGGGTCGGGTGGGCCGCCAGGCGCTGCAGAAAGACCTCGTGCATTGCAACTGTCTTCTTAAAGATAGCCAGGTACTCCCTGCAGAAAATGGCAGGCAGCTCATGGGCCCTCCTCGGCTCTGATTATCCTGCCCCCTTCCCCTCAGAAGCCCTGAGGTCAGAGGTCGGGGTCTCTAACTAACCATAGGCGATGAAATTCTGGGACTTTCAGGACGGGGGTGGGCTTGGAGCTTCATCATAGACAAGGAAAGGAAGTAGCACTCACGCTTCCAGCTCCTGCTTCATTTTGGCAAACTCTTCCCGCGTGATGGAGCTGTCACCCTCACCCAACTTCTGCAGCTTTTCCCTCGAAGCCTCAAAGTCTGGCCTTGGAGGGGCTGGGGGGATCTGCTCAAGGGAGGGACAGAGCCGGCAGGCCTCTCGTTGCCGAGAAGGCCATCACCCACGCCCAGAAGTGTCGCCCAGCCTTCCATCCCCGCCCAAGCACCCAGGCCTGCCCCTCACAGCCCCAGCCCGCCCGGCCCTTCCTCACGATGAGGCCGGCGTACTCCTCATTTTCCACATAGGCGTCGTGTAGCCAGATGAACTCCTCATGCTGTCGCACGACTGAGAACTCCGTCTGGGCGAAGTGAGGGAGGCAGCTCTGGAAGTCGGGAAGCCTGTCTGAGGTAGCTCTCCTCCCCTCCCAAATCCTGCACCCACCAAGCATCCTGGGCACCCATTTTGGGGCTTCCCCAGTCCCACATCCCAGGTGAGGCCCAAGGTGGGCCTTGGTGACTCAGGTGTCCATGATTTCTGTCAGGATGACGGACAGGGCATGGCTAGGACTCGGCCAACAATCGATGCTTGCTTTCTCGGAGAGGCAGGGGGCAGGAGTCAGGTTGAGGAGCAGGGCCCAAAGTCGATGTTGGCATCTGCTCCCCAAGCCCCAGGCAAGCGAGGCTGGGGGAAGCAGGCTCCTCAAGCTCCTGAAGCCTCCTGAGGCAGCCTCCTGAGCTGCCCTCTCGTTCCCCTGGCAGCCTCACCTTGGTTTGAACGGTGAATTTCACCTTGTCCCGCTCGCTCACTGCATCAGAGATCTCCACCTGTAAGGAGCTGTCTCCCTGCAGGTCCACTGATACGGAGGAGGGCTGTTGGGGAGGGGAGGTCTCTGACATGACTGACCACAGCCCCTCACCGCATCCTCACTGCAGACTTCAGGTCCTCCTGCAAAGCCCACCTCAGCAGCATTGCTTCTTCAATGCCCTGGGGTCACCAGCTACCCCTAGAGGGATCCTGATAAGTCACTGCTCAGGGCTTTACAATTCCTACAACACTTTCCCACACTTCCATCCTCAGAAGCAGGCCGACTTCTCCCCGCTTTATAGATACGGAAACTGAGACCACCAGAGAGGTGAGATAAGTTGTCCCAAATCACACAGCTGCAAAATGGCGGGGCCAGATTTGAACCCAGTTTCTCAAATTCCAAACCCCAAGTACTTTCTCAGCTACCAGCTCACCTCTTCCCCAGCTGGTTACTTCAGGCACCCTTTCACTAGAGCCTAGAGTGAGCTAGATAAGAAGCTCTCGCCCCTTTTGAGGGGTTCCTGAAACCATTCTATTCGCCGTGTTTAGTGCCAAGAGGCATTGGCTTGTGGGCAAAGCACATGCGTTTCTCTAAGTGAAAAGATCCGTGAGGCACCAAACTACGAGTTCGTTCTTCATTGAGCTTTTCAACACACGGTTATTGAACACCTACCCTGTCTATACCACTGTGCCAAGTGAAGGGAAGAAGCCACTGTACCTTCAAGCGTTGCTCACCAATATACAAACTGGCACCTGCCCATGGCTCACTTCCCCTCACTCTCTCTCACAGGCTTTGGCACACATTTGCCACAACTATGGACGACTATTCTGACTGCTATCACCACAGATTATTTTTACCTGGACTTAAAACTTAATGGGAGTGCAATTACACAGTATATACGCTCTTGTGTCCGTGGTCTTTAGTGAGACCCATCTACGTTGTGGAGTGCAGCAGGAATTCTCTTTCATTGCCATGTAGTATTCCATATGAATACATCATAGCTTATGTATCTATTCTACTGTTGGTAGTCATTTAGATTATTTCAAGATTGGCCTATTATGGATAAAGCTGCCATGAACATTCTTGCATATGTCTTTTATAGGGTAGGCATGTGTTTAAATGCTTTCGCAGACACTGCCAGTTTTTCAAGGTGATTGTACAAATTTATACTCCTGCCAGTATTGTATGAAAATTCCAGTTGCACCACATCCTTGCCAATACTGGAATTGTTAGTCCTTTTTATCATAGCCATACTGGTGGGGGCATGGTAATTGAGCACTGTAGCTTTAACTTGTATTCCCCGGTGAGGAATGATGTTTAACACCATTTTATGTATCTATTGCCCACTTGGAGATCTTTTGTAAAGTGCCTATTCAAGTCTTTTGCTCCTCCCTTCCCCTCCCCTCCTCTTTTAAAAATCAGATTGTCTTTTTCTTATTAATTTGTAGGGACTCTTTATATACCCTGGAGACAAGTCCTTTGTCAGTTATATCTGTTGCCAATATCTCCTACTCTTTGGGTTGCCTTTTCACTCTTTTAATGACCTACAACTTTACAAGCTCCAATAGGTCAGTCTTTTCTTTTGTGATTAAGGATTTTTGTGTACTCCTGAAGGAAATTTTGCCTACCCCCAGGTCATGAAGATATTCTATTCTTTTTCTTCTAGAAATTAATAGTTTAAGCTTTTATATTTAGGTCTATGATCCACCTTCACTTCATTTTGTAAACAGTGTAAGGTATAGGTTATGACTCATTTTTGCCATATAATAGCCAGTTATTTTAGCACTATTTGTTTAAAAAAGACTATCTTTTGAGTATTGATTTGCTTTGGTGCACATCTTGGTAGAAAATAAATTGACTTCGTAAGTGTTAGCAATTCTGTACTATCTATCCTCTTCCACTGATCCATATGTCTGTATTTTTGATATATCACAGTCTTGATTACTATAATTGACAAACTTGAAATCAGATAGAATTAACAACTTTGTTCTTTTTCAAAATCATTTTGGCTATTATAGATCTTTGCATTTCCATATAAATTATAGACTCAGCTTGTTAATTTACACCCAAAAAACTTGCTGGGATTTTGACTGAGATTAAATTGAATCTATAGATCAATTTGGGAAGGATAGACATTCTTACAATTTTGAATCTTCCAATCCATCAACATGAAATATCTTTCCAATTATTTAGATCTTCTTTAATGTTTCTCAGTAATGTTTTGTAGTGTTCTCTGTAAAGGTTTTGCACATCTTTGTTAGATTTATTCCTAAATATTTTATGATTTTTTATTGTTGTTGCTATTTGAAATATTTTTAAAAATTTCATTCCCTAGTTATTTGTTGCTAGTATGTAGAAACACACAATTGATTTTATATATATTTACTTTGTGTCCAAGAACCTTGCTATATTTACTTACTGCTTTTTTTTTTAAGATTTTATTTATTTATTTGAGAGAGAGAATGAGAGAGAGAGCACATGAGAGGGGGGAGGGTCAGAGGACAAGCAGACTCTCTGTGGAGCAGGGAGCCCGATGCGGAACTCGATCCAGGGACTCCAGGATCATGACCTGAGCTGAAGGCAGTCGCTTAACCAACTGAGCCACCCAGGCACCCTTTACTTACTACTTTTAATAGTTTGTAGATTATTTTGGATTTCCTCCATATACAATCCTATAATATAAAATAATGACAGTTTTAGTTTTTCCTTTCCAACCTTTATACCTTTTACTTTTTCTTGCCTTATTGCACTTGCTAGAAACTCTAGCACAATGCAGAAGTGGTGACGTGGTGAAAAAGGAAATCCTTGTCCCTGATCTCAGAGGGTGCATTCAAAATGTAATCCTGAAGATGATTAATTCTGAATCAGATTAATGAGAATCCCTTCTATGCCTAGTTTGGTAAGAGTGCTGATTTTTATCAATGTTTCCTCCCTTTATTGAGATATCAAGTGGGTTTTCCTGTTACTCTGTAATGTCCCAAATTTCACTGATTTTCTTTTTTTTTTTTTAAGATTTTTTTTTATTTATTCCTCTGAGACACAGAGATACAGAGAGAGAGAGAGAGAGCATGAGCAGGGAGAGAGGCAGAGGGAGAGGGAGAAGCAGGCTCCTCACTGAGCCAGAAGCCCAATGTGGGGCTCGATCCCAGGACCCTGGGATCATGACCCGAGCCAAAGGCAGACACTTAACCATCTGAGCCACCCAGGTGCCCCTGATTGATTTTCAAATACTGAACCACCCTGCATTCCAGGAATAAGGCCTTTCATCATGAAGTATTATCTTTTTGTTTTTTAGTTTTTATTTTTTTTTAAAGGTTTTATTTATTTATTTACTTGAGAGAGTGAGAATGAGCATGCAAGCAAGTGATCAGGCAGTCGGGGGCAGAGGGAGAGGGACAAGCAGACTCTGCACTGAGTGTGGAGCCCAATGCAGGGCTCAATGCCACCACCCTGAGGTCATGACCTAAGCTGAAATCAGGAGTTGGATGCTTAACCAACTGACCTACCCAGGTGCCCTGAAGTATTATGTTTTTATATATTGCTTATTCAACTTGATAATATTTTGTGATTTTTCCATTTACGTTCACAAGAGAGATTAACCTGTGTTTTTTCCTTTCTTTTAATGTTTTTGACAGGATATTTTGTGGTAAAATATGCATATCACAAAATTTACCATTTTAACCATTTTAAAGTGTACAGTTTATTGATATTAAGTATATTCACAGTGTTGTGCAACCATCACCATCATCTACTTCCTTTTGACAGGTTTTTGTATCAAGGTTATATTGTCCTCCGAAAATAAGTTGGAACTGTGCCTTCTATTTCTGTTTTTGGGATAACTTATATGAGAATGGTATTAGTTTTCCTTTAATGCTTCAAAGAATTCATATGTGAAATTATATTGCTTAGGTATTTTTGGAAAAGTTTTTAATTATAGATTTACTTCCTATAATAGACATAGGACTATTGAGATTTTCTACTTCTTATTTCAGGTTTGGTAAGTTGCATTTTTCAAGTAGTTTGTCCATTTTGTTTAAATTCTCTCATTTGTTGGCGTAAGCTTGTTCTTAAATTCTTTTATTTTTATTTATTTATTAATATTTTATTTATTTATTTGAGAGAGAGAGAGAGAAAGCATGAGCGGGGGCAGGGGCAGAGGCTAACGGAGAAGCAGAATCCCCACTAAGCAGGGAGCCGAATGTGGGGCTCGATCCCAGCACACCGGGATCATGACCTGAGCCAAAGGCAGTGCCCCTCTTATTATCTTTTTTTTTTTAAGATTTTATTTATTTATTTGAGAGAGAGAGAATGAGAGACAGAGAGCATGAGAGGGAGGAGGGTCAGAGGGAGAAGCAGACTCCCCTCTGAGCAGGGAGCCCGATGCGGAACTCAATCCCGGGACTCCAGGATCATGACCCGAGCCGAAGGCAGTCACTTAACCAACTGAGCCACCCAGGCCCCCTCTCTTAATATCTCTTTAATGACTGAAACATCTCTATCAATGTGCACTTTATCATTCCTGATATTGGTAATTAATATTTTCTCCCTTCCTCCCTCTCAGTCTCCCTCTTGCTCTCTCTTTCTCTCTTTTATCAGTCTTGCTAGATGCTTATCAGTTTTTTAGTATTTTCAAAAAACTATTTTGGGCATTCTTGAATTCCTATATTTGTATATTTACCTTCTATTAATTGATTTCTGCTCTTTATTATTTCCTTCCTTTTACTTTCTTGGGGTTTCAATTGTTCTTCTTTTTCTAGTTTCTTGATATTGAAATGTAGATCACTGGGGCCCATGGGTGGCTCAGTTGGTTAAGCATCTGCCTTCAGCTCAGGTCATGATCCTGGGGTCCTGGGATCGAGTCCCACATTGGGCTCCTTGCTCAGTGGGGAGCCTGCTTCCCCCTGCTTGTGCTCTCTCTCTGACAAATAAACAAATAAAGTCTTTAAAAAACAAAACAAAAAAGAAATGTAGATCATTGACTTCTTTCAACCTTTCTTTTTTTCTGAAATATGCATTTGGAGGTGTAAGTTTCCCCCTGGGTACTTCTTTAGCTGCATCTCCAGTTTTGATATATCATATTTTCAAAATAATTTCTTTAAAATTTTTTCTAATTTTCATTTAATTTCTTCTTTGACCTATGAATTACTTAGAAGCATGTTGCTTTCTTTCCAAATATTTTGGAATCTAGTTATCTTTTTGTTTGGATTCCCTGCTAATTCTAATGGGACAGAGATCTCATTCTATGATTTCAATGTTTCAAAACTTGTTGAGGGCGCCTGGGTGGCTCAGATGGTTAAGCGTCTGCCTTCGGCTCAGGTCATGATCTCAGGGTCCTGGGATCGAGTCCCGCATCGGGCTCCCTGCTCCTTGGGAGCCTGCTTCTCCCTCTGCCTCTCTCTGTCTCTAATGAATAAATAAATAAAATCTTTAAAAAAAAAGAAAACTTGTTGATACTTGCATTATAGCCCAACATATAATGTATTTTGGTAAATGTTTCAAGTGGCACTTGAAAAGAATGTGTTACCTGCAGTTGTTGGGTACAGAGCTCTAATTAAACCAATTAGATCAAGTTGATTAATCATGGTATTTTATTTATTTATTTGACAGAGAGAGAGAGCACAAGTAGGCAGAGCGGTAGGCAGAGGGAGAGGGAGAAGCAGGCTCCCCACTGAGCAAGGAGCCCGATATGGGTCTCAATCCCAGGACCCTGGGATCATGACCTGAGCCGAAGGCAGACGCTTAACCGAAAGAGCCACCCAGGCACCCCTAATCATAGTATCTTAAATCTTCAAAATCCTTACTTGATTTGGGGGCAGGGGGCTTGTTGAGAGAGTGTGTTAAACCTCTAATTGTGAGTTTGTCTATTTCTCCTTTTAATTCTGTAATCTTTTACTTTGCATATTTTGAAATGATGCTATTCGTTGCATATAAATTTAGGACTGTTTTATCTTCCTGTTGAATTGACTCTTTAATCATTATAAAATGTCCCTCTTTATTTCTAGTAATACTTCTTGTCTTACAGTCTACTTTGTCTGAAATTAATGTAGCTATGCCATCATTCTTTGGGTTAGCATTCTTTTTGTGTCCTTACAGTTAAAACATGTCTCTTAAAAAAAAAAAAGGATTTATTTATTTATTCTAGAGAGAGTATATGTGTGTGTGTATGTGTGTGTGTGTGTGAGAGAGAGAGAGAGAATGAGAGGCGGGGGTGGTGCAAGGGAGAGGAGAGAGAATCTCAACAGACTCCCTGCTGAGCCCCTAAAGTATGTGTCATTTGACAGAATATAGTTGTCTTTAAAAATCCAATCTGAGGGGTGCCTGGGTGGCTCAGTTGGTTAGGTGTCAGAATCTTGGTCTCAGCTCAGGTCTTGATCTGGGGTTGTGAGTTCAAGCGCCATGTTGGGTTCCATGCTGGGCATGAAGCCTACTTAAAAAAAATCCAATCTGAAAAAAAAATCCAGTCTCAATTTTTTTTAAGTAACCTTACACTCAAGGTGGGGCTCAAAGTCTCAACCCTGAGATCAAGAGTTCCATGTTCTACCAACTGAGCCAGCCAGGCACCCCCTGAATATGTTTTTAATTGGAGGGTCTATTCATAATTACTGTAATTACTGACATAAGCTATAAACCTACCATCTTGCTTTTTGTTTTTTTTTCTTTTTCTCATCTGTTTTTTCGTTGCTTTATTCTTTTTCCCTTGCCTTCTGTTAGATTAGTCAAGTATTTTTATATTATTTCATTTTCTCTTCTATTATATTTTTATTTACATCTTCATTTAGTATTCTTTTTTTTAATTTTTTTTTTAAGATTTTATTCATATGAGAGAGAGAGAATGAGGAGTGAGAGAGCACAAGAGGGGGGAGGGTCAGAGGGAGAAGCAGACTCCCTGCCGAGCAGGGAGCCCGATGCAGGACTCGATCCCGGGACTCCAGGACCATGACCTGAGCCGAAGGCAGTCGCCTAACCAACTGAGCCACCCAGGTGCCCCATTTAGTATTCTTTTCATTTCTTCCTATTTAAAGGAGAATCTTGGAGAAGGCGATGCTTACTCTAGAGGACAGGCTCTAATACTGGACTTTGAGAGAGTCTGTCACCTACAAAGTTTGGGAATGGACCCATCAGTTTGATAGCCCAGTATACATCCCATATGATAACAGTAACAACAACAACAAAATAGCTAACACATACTTGAGCTTCCTATATGCCAGGTACTGACCTAAGCATTTTACATATATTAACTGATTTAGCCATGAATCTGAACACAAGCATTGAAACAGATATTTTCGGCTCTATACTTTGTGTCTCTCAGCCCCTCTCAACTCTCCAAACTCCTCACTTGGCTTCTCTGACATCCCCAGGCAGCCTTCCCCTTTGTCCAACTGCAACCCCCCCAACACACACAATCTGGCTCATTGGTACAAGGGGCCCCTAACTCTCCTGTCTCCCTCCTGCTACCTTAGTATCTCTGCTCTAACCTGTACTGTTTGGTAACTGCTTGAGAGAGATGGAACTTCAAGGATGGACCACAGCTACTCCATCCTTGTCCTCAGCCACAGCCCACTATGCACATGCCTCCAATGCTCAAAAGTGTGCACCTCTGTGAGCCCAATGATGCTCAATAACTATTTGTTGAATGAAATCAAGAGGAAAGAGTGAAGAATTAGTGATCTTATGATTATATGAACACAGGTACACAAAGGAAGCCATTACTGCTGAACTGGATTCCTCCCTCTTTGGCAAAGGAGAAGGTACTCCATCCTCTTCTCAATCCCTAACATCCCTCCTTCCTCTTCTTCCCCATTAGGCCAGAATCGTGAGTTGGTCCTGGGGAGGGGAGGAGTGGCAGTGACAGGTCCCTTTCCATCTGTCAGGGCAAAGGTAAACCCTGCCTCCTTTGGCATCCTCATCAAGCCCCATGCAGGTGCCACAGAGGCGCCCCACCCCCTTACCCCCTTGCTCAGGTCTCTCTAGCTCACGCGTGCGCGCGAACACACGCACACACGCCCCACTCCCTGATTGGGCATCACTGGGTATCATGGAGGGAGGTGAAGGTTGGGAGGGGGTTTGCATCCTTTCTTTACCTTGCTCTCCTTCCCAGCCTCTTGACGCCCCTCCATCACCCTTCTTCTTGGCCGCAGCACACAAGTATTCCGCGGCGGGCCGCTGCCCGCGCGCTCCCGCAGCTTCGTCCCCGGTAACTCGCCCGAGGCACGCGACCCTACCGGCTGACGGAGACACTCTCCCCTCCCTGCTAGGAGTCACCTGGAATCAGGCGTGGTTCCCACCCGTTCCTTCGCAGCTGCGCCTTTTGATTGGCTACCAGGTCCACCACGAGCGACACCATTGGCTGCAACGCCTGTCGTTCCTTTGCTTGGCCCCAGCTTTTAAGGGGAAGCGCGTAACCCAGGGCCGGGAACGGGCGACAGCATGGGGGCTGGGGTCGGGGGTTCTGGGGTTACTGAGGTCTCGAGCCACGTCAGCCCCTGCCCCCAGGCTGGCAGTCTGTCGCCTGCCGCAACTGCGGGCCGTGCCTTCCAACCGCCTCGCGCGGTCTGCGCGTGCGCACTAGCCAGGTCGCGCGCCCTCCAGGCGGTGGGCGAGGCGGCGGGCCAGTGGGCAGGGTGGCAGGGTGGCAGGGTGGGAGGGTAGGGTGGGGTGGGGTGGGGGAATGGGGAGGAGGGGTGGGATGGTGGACCAGGGATAAGGGTGAGAGAAAGGGGTTCCGTTAGAATTTTCGCTCTGGGGCATGAGGGGTCTGCGGGGTAAGGCGCACAGAGCCGTGAGGAGGCGCCGTAAGGCCCGCGGCCAGGGCGCCCGAGTCCAGGCCCGGGTCCACGGGTGGTCGCACCTGGACCCGGGGAGCAGAGGGGCACAGATGCTGCGAGAAAAATTGTGGGTGCCCTGGAACGGGCTCATTGTGATCGGGAAGAGAATGGAGCTCCTGGGTAGAAATACACAAAAGCCTAGGATGTGCGACCCAAAGCTTGACTCTGAGTACTGGGGACGAGAAGATGTGGAAAAAATGGTCTTGAAAGCGAAGTCAGGCCAAAGTCAGGAAAGGATGGATGTGAAGCTAGTAGCAAGTGCATTATGGGCTTCAGCAGGTTTGGGGGAAAACAGCCCAAAGGAGATGGGGGGAAAGCAAGAAATTAGAGGCAAAATAGGCGCTGAATCCGAGAATGCAGGGACTACAGCAGGGTCTAGGAGGGGGTCTGGTTTTAAAGAGAGGTTGAAATTTACTGGGGTGGGGACCAGAGGAGAGGACTTGAGATCCAGACCACATACACGAGGGCAGAATGAGGAGGAGCTGAGGTCAAGTGGAGAGAAGCTGAGTGGAGAGAAGCTGAGGTCAAGTGGATTGAAGTTGAGGTCAAGTGGAGAGCAGGTGAGTGGAGAGAAGTTGAGGTCAAGTGGAGAGCAGCTGAGTGGAGAGAAGCTGACATCAAGTGGAGAAAAGCTGAGGTCAAGTAGAGAAAAGCTGAGGTCAAGTGGAGAGAAGCTGACATCAAGTGGTGAGAAGCTGAGTCTGAGTGAAGAGAACCTGAGGTCAAGTGGAGAGCAGGAGGGATCCAGGGGAGAGAAGCTGAGAAGTAGTGGAGAGGATTTGAGATCCACTGGAGATAAATTGCAGTCAAGTGCAGAGAAGCTAGAGGGTTCAGGAATGGACAGCATAACTGAAGAGACAACTGAAAGAATGGTAGAAGTTACTGGTGATAAAAAATGGATTAAAGTTCCTGATCCTGAGATGGAAAATCCTTTTGAAAAGGTGGAAGGAAGTGATGAAGAGCTAGAAGGGACTGAGGAAGCAGTGGGAGTTGAGGATGTCTTGGGTGGAGTGAATGATATTGCTGATGAATCTGTTTCTATGGAAGAGAAAGAGGTTATAGATGAAGGTAATGGTGAATGAGGCAGATGAAGGACTGAAGCTAATGAAGGAGAGAGGCAGATAGAGGGTGTTGCAAGTCAAGGAGGAGAAATTAGAGCCAAGCAGAGCATTATTGACCCTGAAGAGGTAAATATGAGAGAGGTAAGGAGAGCATGGGGATGAAGAATTTGCAAGGATGAAGGTGGAGGCTAGGGCCAAAGGAAATGAAGACGAATGAGAAGGAGGGAAATGGGAACATTTTGAGGAGACAGAAAGGATCTGATAATGTGTTGCTATGTCGAGGAAAGGTGGAGATTTTTTTCTTGGAGAAGAGCTGTGACTGAAGGGCTTGTTGGGAAATGTTTGAGAAATGGATTTGGGAGGGGCTAGAGGATTTAGTTTAATGTGTGGTTGGTTTATAAGTTAGAGAAGAATGCATAGTGAGAAAAATGGGGAATTACAGCAGGCTAAAGGGTAAATAATGAAGGTTGTGAAGGAAGATGCAAGCTGGAGCAAGGAAAGAAGACTTCTGAGAGGATCCTGAAGAGGAACGAGGGACTCCAAAGTGACACAAGCAAGAGAAAAGAAAGAAGTGAAGAAAAAAGGTAAGAAGTCAAATCCCATCATAATGATTATGTTTGTTGGGTTTTTTTTTTTTTTAAAGATTTTATTTATTTATTTGAGAGAGAGGATGAGAGGAGAGAGAGAGCACATGAGAGGGGGGAGGGTCAGAGGGAGAAGCAGACTCCCTGCCGAGCAGGGAGCCCGATGCGGGACTCCATCCCGGGACTCCAGGATCATGACCTGAGCCGAAGGCAGTCGCTTAACCGACTGAGCCACCCAGGCGCCCTGTTTGTTGGGTTTTAAAGTTATTTCCTTTACTCTCTCTGTACGCCCCTCTCCTGTGTAAGCCAATTTTACAATCGAATGGGACAGGCCTCTCGCGGGGCCCTATACATCTGGACCAAGCCCATCCTCATGGATCTATCCTCTAACTAGCCTCCAAATATAGCCGGAATAATGCTGGGCTCGATTCACCATGATCACCATTTCCGTGGGTTTCCCTCACCTCCACACATCAAATTTGAGTTGCTCAGACTTGATACGAAGTTACCTCAACTGTTTGTGTTATTACTGTTTCCATCTTTGACTTGGTTATTCATCTAATCACGTGGACTTTTCCCCTCGTGTCAGTCTCCTTTGGGGCTTTCTCCTATGACTTCCATATGCCATCCATCATCTACTCTCATCCCAGGGAAGAGAGAAGACTCCCTGAGTGCCTACTGTCAAGACATCAACGTCAAAACTTAGGCTCTTAGATCCTGTTTGTCTCTCCGATAGGGATATAGGAGGTGGAAAAAAGCAGCCATGGATAGTTTGGATGAAAGAAATATTTCACCCTTTTCCCCCCATATACCTTTTTTTGGGAGGGGAGAGAGACTGGCGTTGGGGGCAGAGGGAGAGGGAGAGAATCTTTTTTTAAAGATTTTATTTATTTATATGACAGAGAGAGACAGCGAGAACAGGAACACAAGCAGGGGGAGCAGGAGAGGGAGAAGCAGGCTCCCCGCGGAGCAGGGAGCCCGATGTGGGACTCCATCCCAGGACCCTGGGATCATGACCTGAGCCGAAGGCAGACGCTTAACGACTGAGCCACCCAGGCGCCCGAGGGAGAGAATCTTAAGCAGGCTTCACACCCAGTGTGGAACCCATTGCAGTGCTCGATCTCACTACCCTGAGATCATGACTTGAGCTGAAACCAAGAGTCAGACACTCAACCGACCAAGCCACCCAGGCGCCCCTCCCTCAGGTACTTTTTAAAGTCTATAATATTGGAGCGCCTGGGTGGCTCAGTCAGTTAAGTGTCTGCCTCCAGCTCGGGTCATGATCCCAGGCTCCTGGGATGGAGCCCCACGTCGGGCTCTCTACTCAGTGGGGAGCCTGCTTCTTCCTCTCCCTCTGTAGCTCTCCCCATTTGTGCTCTCTCTCTCTGTCAAATAAATAAATTAAATCTTAAAAAAAAGTCTGTTAATATTTCTGAGGAGTAGAAACTTCATCATATCACAAATATCATGACACAGATTTATAATAGGCTCATGTTTTTTAGTTGTTTTATACATACCCTTTGCTGATTTTCCCCAAAGCCTCCAAAAGATCTGTAAACCCCATGCCATATTTTTTGTTCATGTAGTCAGACCTAATGATAATTCACCAATTTCATTTTTTCCCTGGCAATTTCCTTCTTTGAGTCCTTTATCCTCTGGGTCTGATGTAGAGTGGCTGCGTTCTAGGTTTGCCCCATTGCTGCTTTCCTGGGCTTCTTAACGCTTCTTTCTGTTTCTTTGTGTTGGATCTCCTACTGCCTGGATCTTAGATCTTCTCCCTCTTTCTTGTGTTACAGCCTCATTTTGGCCAACCACATCATCTAATAGCTTCCAAAGAAAGAGATCATGGGAGGTGAACTTTGTGACAGCTTATCTGCCTGAAAATATTGATTCTTCTCTCATATTTGATGGATTTATTGCAAGTTGAAGAGGATAAATTAGAGCCAAGCATAACATTATTGATGTTGAAGGGGTAAATATGAGAGAGGAAGGGAGAGCATCTGAGTCTGCGAGGAGGGAATGGGGATGAAGAGCTATGAGGCTCGAGGTTGGAAATATTTTTCCCTTAGAATTGTAAAGGCAGGGGCGCCAGGGTGGCTCAGTCAGTTAAGCGTCTGCCTTTGGTTCAGGTCATGATCCCAGGGTCCTGGGATCGAGCCCCGCATCGGGCTTCCTGCTCAGCAGGGAGCCTGTTTCTCCCTCTCCCTCTGCCTGCCTCTCTGCCTACTTGTGCTCTCTCTGTCTGTCAAATAAGTAAAATCTTAAAAAAAAAAGAATTGTAAAGGCATTGCCCCACTCTTTTCTAACTTCTGAGTGTTGCTGTTTATAATTGCAGTTTTGTTCTTAAAAAATTTTTTTTATTCTGTGGATATGACCTATATAAATTACCTGTTTTCTACCACTCTAATGGCTCACCCTGCCCTCTCCTTCTGTTTTCTTTCTCTTTTTTAAGATTCTTTTTTTTTTTTTTTAAAGATTTTATTTATCCATTCATGAGAGACAGAGACAGAGGGAGAAGCAGGCTCCCCGCGGAGCAGGGAGCCCGATGCGGGACTCGATCCCAGGACCCTGGGATCATGACCTGAGTCGAAGGCAGACGCTAAACCGCCTGAGCCACCCAGGCGTCCCTCTCCTTCTGTTTTCTATGGTTCTACTACAGGACTTTGGAGCCTGAGTTAGAGCTCTTATCTTTTTTCTACTTTTGTCCTTTTTTTAATTCTACTCTCTGGGCAATTTCATTAATTTTATCTTGTTATTCTTTCTATTGAGTTTTTCTTTTTTTAATTTCAACTCTTGTTCATTGATTTTCTTTTTTTTTTTGCTTCTTTTTTTTTTTTATAGCACCTCTGTTTTTTGTTTTGTGTACATGTTCTTTTAGATCTCCAAGGAAGAATTCTTCTGTTTTTAAGTGTTCTGCTTTTCATACTATTTCCTCTGAATTCTCCTCCCCCTTTGCTGGTGTGTGTGTGTGTGTGTGTGTGTGTGTGTGTGTTGGAGGTTTTCCTAAAATATTTGATCTTACTCTCTGTGCACAGATGGGGCTTGTTAATTGATGGTCTTCATTCTTTATTGTTTTATATTGTATTTATCCTTTTATTTTCATCTTGATGGGGTTTGGAGATAAACACATGTATGTGTTCAATCTGCCATGTTTGACAAAAAGTCTCCTCCATTACATTTTGATTGTTTTTAATTGAATTCTTAAGTGTAACCCTGATTTTCATCTTGAAGGTAACTTGTTATTTCCTTTATGAATTTTTCTGTGTGAAAGTGACTAGCACAATGAACAAATAAACCTCAGTGTACAGCAAACTCTACATCAGTTATTATAAACATGCTGTAATTGCTCTCATCTTTGAAAAAGCACAAAACCTCTCTTGACTCCACATTCCCCTCTAGCTACTGCCCCATTTTTCTTGCTCCCTGTGGTAGGCACAAAAGTGGCCCTCCAAAGATATACTCACTTCCTAGTCCCAGGAACCTCTACATATTACATCATATGGCAGAAGCGTGAATATTACCTTACATGGCAAAAGATGTGATTAAGTTAAAGATCTTGAGAGGAAGAGCTTATTCTGGATAATCTGGGTGAGCCCTAAATGCTATCACAAGTGTCCTTATAGGAGAAAGACAAAGGAGATCAGCCACCCAGAAGAGAAGGAGGCCATTTAACCCCAGAGACAGACCACAATGATGTGGCCACAAGTCAAGCAGTGTCAGGAGCCACCAGAGGTCGAAAGAGCAAATAATGGATTCTTCCCTAGAGCCTCTGTAGGAAATGTGCACAGCCTTTGCCAATACCTTGATTTTGGACTTTTGGCCTCCAGAATTTTATTCTCCATAGAGAATAAATTTCTGTTTTTTAAGCCATGCAGTTTGTGGTAATTTGTTACAACAGCTCTAGGAAACTAATACATTCCTTTTATAGCAGAATTCCTCCCAAAAGTAGTCTATGCTTACTTTTTCTGATCTTCTCCATTCCTTTTTATCTAACTTTTTATATTGGGCATTTAAAAATATACAGAAAAGGGCGCCTGGGTGGCTCAGTTGGTTAAGCGACTGCCTTCGGCTCAGGTCATGATCCTGGAGTCCCGGGATGGAGTCCCGCATCGGGCTCCCTGCTCCGCAGGGAGCCTGCTTCTCCCTCTGACCCTCCCCCCTCTCATGTGCTCTCTGTCTCTCTCATTCTCTGTCTCAGATAAATAAATAAAATCTTTAAAAATATATATATATATATATACAGAAAAATTGAAAGTTTAGAGCAGTTAACAAATATTCTTTACCTAGATTCAGCAGCTGATAAGTTTGCCCTATTTGCTTTGTTTGTAAATACTTCAGCACATATCTCCTAAGAATTAAGACATTCTCCTCCATATCCATAATACCTAAGTAAATTAAAATTATTTTAATTTAATAAATTAAAAATTAAGAATAATTTTCTAGGGGCACCTGGGTGGCTCAGTCACTTAAGCATCTGCCTTCGACTCAGGTCATGGTCCCAGGGTCCTGGGATCGAGCCCCACATTGGGCTCCCTGCTCAGCGGGGAGCCTGCTTCTCCCTCTCCCACTCCCCCTGCTTGTGCTCTCTCTTTCTCTCTGTCAAATAAATAAATAAAATCTTTTAAAAAAGGCAAATTCCCTAATATCATTTAATATTCAATATATATTACAATTTCCTTCCATGTCCCCAGATGATCTTTTATAACCTTTTTCCTTGGCCCAGCATCTCATCAGGGCTCATATGTTGAATGTGCTTGTTAATTCTTTTTAATCTACATTGATCTCTAATTCTATTTTTAACAAGCTTGACTTTTTTAAAGAATTCAAGCCTATTTGCTTATAGATGTCCAGCATTTTTTATTTATCTGACTGTGTCTAGATGGTGTCATTTAGTTCATTCTTCTAACCACTGTAGTTTTTATGCACTGGGAGTTGGAGCTGTAGCTTTTGGTTTCTTTCTCTGTAGCACTTATCACCTTCTGACTCCAAGTTTCCCTTCTGTCATTGTTTATTATCTTTCACCTCTAGAATGGAAGTTCCGTGAAGGAATCAATGTGTGCCTGTTGGGTTACCTGTTCTAGTCTGCTGTCTAACCAACACATAGTAGGCACTCAGCATGTATTTGTGGTATGAATTAAAGTCACATTCAGTGCTTTTACCTGTGTCAATACTATTTAACATCTAATAAGAAATTGCTGTAATAATTTGCCCTGTTCCTTAGAATATCTCACATTTTTTAAAGCCTCAAATGCCTGAAAATGTCTTTATTCCATACTTGAGGTTTGTCTAGGTATAGAATTTTCCCTCAGAAGTTTGAAGGCATGGCCCTTTGTTTTCTCCCTTCATGCGTGGCCATTGCACTCGACCAGGTGATCTGTGTATGTAGTCTGCCTTCTTCTCCCTCTCTCTGTTATTTTTGCTTATTTATTGGTCTGAAGTTTATAGCTTGCTCTCTCTTCCATGCTCTAGGAACTCTGATCCCACAGTTGGGCAATAAAGTAGAGATACTGGGTGTGGGCAGAATTGTAAAGATAAGCTACAGAAGGCTCAAACCTGGTAGTAGGATCTTTTTGGCAAGTGATGATAGCTAACAATTACTGAATTCTTATAATAATCTGAATACTTTCATTGGTAACATGCTAAGCACTTTTTACATGCTCTCTATCATTTAATCCTTCCAACAACTCTCTGGGACAGGAACTATTACTGTGTCAGCTCTACCAGCTAGAAACTGCCAGGGCCATGCCCTGAGCCCAGGCAGCCTGATCCCAGAGCTGTACTGGAAACCACTTTGATGAACTGCCCACTCTTCGTATTAGAAAAGCCCCACTACTCAGTTACCAGCCTGCCAAAGCCAGGCCTGCAATCCTGCCTAGGGGGTGGGGAATGAGGCTGGGTAACAACCCTTCCATTTATTCAGTGAAGCTTGTTGAATGAGTGCTTCGGTGGCAAGTTTTTAAGAACATAAATGCCAAAAAGCAATGATGTTTATTTTCTTTCCCAGCTCTCTGCCTTCCCAAGATCATCTACTCTTAGCCTCCTTTGGTGAATCTCAGAGCACTGAGAAATTGTTGCCTCTTTGATAGGAGGCTTACACAGGCATGACATCAAGACAGCTGTGTCAGTCTCTCAGATGGCCCTGCACAGCATATAAATCATGAACCAAATAACCAGACTCGTTCTTTGGCTGGATTACATGTTCTCCTGGGATATCAGAATCATTCAACTGAGGCCACAGAAAGAAGTAGTGAAGATCAAGACACCACAACAAATCGCAGCCACCTTGTAAGTGCAGATATTTTCAATCATCTAGGTAGCTAGAACTTTGTATATGTGATATCCTTTTTTACTAAAATTAATCAAAGTGAACACATTTGAGGGAATTGAGGGCTCTTGAGTGATTTTATGTATCTCCAGTATCCTAGTCTTTCTTTGGATATTCCCAAAGATCCCTGTTTCTTGCAACAGGATATGTTAAAAACGACATTATTGTTTGGCTTTTGTCAAATGCCCCCTTCACTAGTCCCATTAATTCATTCAGCAAACACCAAACACTTATATGTGCCAGTTGGGAATGCAACAAATGTGTAGGACCAGGTTCTTGCCCTTGGCCTCCTATCTCGTGTTGAGACAGACATCTCTACAGGTAGATGTCTGTGCATTGTGAGGTTAGGAGGGTGCTATGTACTAAGTGTGGTAGAACTGCAGAAAAGGGAGGGCCTGGCCATGAGGCTGGTTAGGGGGGCAATCAGAGAAGGCTTCCTCATGTTTTTGACCACTTGGGGCTGGACTAGTGAGAAGAATGCTGAGAAGGGGTCAGCACTGGATGAGGAGAGGGCAAACAAACATTCTCAGCGGAAAGAAGAAGATTGCTGACCATGACCAGGGACTGCATAGCTCACTCAGGAGAGGGCAAGAGCAGTAGTTTGGGACAGCTGGAGCAGAGAGAGTATTATAGAGACTGGCAGAATGTGAGCTTGGGAGAGCCTGGGGATAGCCTTGAATGCAGGATTAAGGAAGTTAGCCTTTGCTCTCTAGGTGACAAGGAGAATGACACCATGAAATCTTCGCTTTACATAGTTTACCAAGCTGAGAGGTGGAATCAAGTGGGTGCAGCATGAGGGTGGGTCAGAGTGGGGTGCTGAGTAGGTGCTCAGTAAAACAGGAGATGTGATCATTAATTAGAACCTTATAATGAACAGTTCAAGATAAAGAGGTCAAGGCTATGAACTAAGGCAGAGAAAGTGGGGGCAAAAACCAGAGGATAGATTGGAGAAAGTTCCAGAAGTCTGAGTGAACAGGATTGCTAATTAATTGTGAATAGATGGAGGCGCCAGGCTTACAGATAACAATAGCTGACATGTGTCATCCAGGGCTTACTCTGTAGTTAGGCACTTTGTGTGCAGTATCTTTTTTAATCATAGTAGCCCTATGAGAGTGGTTGTATTACTTTCTGCATTTTATAGGAGAGGGAGTTGGAGCCTGGAGTGGTCAATCAAAGTGACAAGGCAGGTATATAGTGTGGTAGTAGTTAGGATTCGAACCCAAGGGAGTCAGCACCCTTAGCTACTACACAGGAGCGTCAGCAGCTGACTGGATTTTGGTACCAAGTGATTGGGAAGTGAAGTGACCACCTCAGGAAGCAGTTAATGAGTGACAGATGAGGGCCTGGAACCCACTGGAACCAGTTCTTGCCGCCCCCCCCCCCCGCCCCCCCCGAGTTCACAAACAGGAGGCTGGGCACCACATCAGGTCATAGCCATGTTGTGTTTGGTTTATAGAATATTTTTAAAAAAGTTTTTGGAACTAACTGCTAACATTAAAAAAATGGAGAGAGTCACATTAAAACCTGCTGGATTATCTTGAAAAGTGAGAAGATCTGGCCATACTGGGCCCATATAGCAGCAACCTTTGCTGCTGCTTCTGTGTTTCCTTCAGCTAGGGCCTGTGCCCCCCAGTTGGCCAGAGCCCACCAGCCTGGGATCCATGCCCACCTCTGCAGGTACCTGAGTTTGCATCTCTCCACCACAAGCTGGTCCAGTTTGATGCTAGGCTGTGTCTGTGCATTTAATCCTGTGTCGAGCCCAGGCTTCCACTGATGGTTAAATACTCTTTTCGAACTTTAGGGAATATAAGATAAAAACAGCAACGTGTTTTGTGTTGTTTGTTTTTTCCCTTCATACTGTGGGAACTGAGAAAAAATAACTGCTGCTCACACTTGAGCGCCCACAAGAGGAGGGTGACATACAGGTCACGCAGGGCGAAGGTGAATGAATGGTCGTAGTTCCCAAAGCCAGCACCAGGTAAAAGGAAATGTCAATCATACCATGGGAAACGGCAGACATAATGGGAGCTTTACAAATCATGCTGTGACTTCTTTCTGTTTAATTTGTTCAGTAATTAATTATTTGCTTGAATTTTGAACTGTGTACTTTAGACGTATTATAAGGAAGCTTTGGGGGAAAATACGCATGCACGTATACATGCCTGTGGGGTGTGGGTGGGCCATAGCTTACATTCCATCGCTTGGAATTCTCTGCAGTTTCAAAATGTTATTTTCTAAGTTTAATGATTTATCACAGATTTGAAAACATGTTTCTGTACAATTAAGTTAACATGCGAGTCACAGGACGGCAAACGGGTATTTTTTCCATATTAAATATTTTGTGACGTCTAAGATGTAAGAGTCCCCATGGCAGTGGTCAGGTGGGACAAATGACGGGTTTTATGCTTGTGTGTTTGTCTGCAGTTTGTAAACTACACTTAGAGACACAGGTTCAAACAGGTGCAAGAAATAGAGCTGACATCGGAGCTTCAGGAGTTTTGACTCCTAATCAGTGTTCTTTTTTTTTTTTTTTTAAAGATTTTATTTATTTATTCATGAGAGACAGAGAGAGAGAGAGAGAAGCAGAGGGAGAAACAGGCTCCCAAGGAGCAGGGAGCCCGATGCGGGACTCGATCCCAGGACCCTGGGATCATGACCTGAGCCGAAGGCAGACGCCCAACCATCTGAGCCACCCAGGCGCCCTCCTAATCGGTGTTCTTTGTGGGACACCAGAAAAATTGTCCTCATGCCCGCCACCCGCTCAGGAACTGGGGGAAAGCAACTGCTGATGAGCTGCGTGAATTTCTCAGGGGCCTCCAGGCACCCTTCTCGGGTGTCCAGTGGGTCTCAGAGGTTCACTGTCAATCTCGAAAGGGTCATCTGTGCTACCAGATCACAGTGACCCAACTCTCAATAGGCCAGGCCTGCAGGCTTTTCCCTGGGAGCCAGGCATGCCCGTACAAGGCTCCTACTGCAGATCAACTCAGTCTCTGGAGCCATTTGTACACAGTTAACGCCGGACTCCTGAGGCCACACTGCTGCTCCTTGGACTTTGACCCCTGCCCAGCACCTTCTCCTTCCTCCTTCCCCTCCCACTCAGAGACTCCCCGCCTCGGATATACACACCCAGGGTGGGACCCCAGTGTGTGCTGCAGCCAGCTCTTCAGTGCTTGTCCGTACCACTCAGAAACCGTGGTTTCTTATTGATATCATATAGACAAGTGCCCAATACTAGGTACTTAGCACCGTGCTGACCGCTGGGGATACAACAGATGGGTGCCCTTGCTCCTGAGGACAAGATCAGCATGCAGGGATTCATTCGTGAACCAGGTGGCACTTTGTTTCAGTACTAAAACAAGTGGTATTTTGTCTCAGTCGCATTATAATTTCATTTTTGTAGTGTGGCCTAAAAAACCTAGGCTCCCCCCAAAACTCAGCCAAGTGCATGGTAAAATTCGACTTATTCATTCATTTAACAAATATTTAGTAAGCACCTATTATTAGCCAGATGTCAGGACTATAAGAGAGGACAAAACTGTCAAATACCCCTATTCTCTTGGAGCTTACGCTATCACAGAAGGAGACTGAAAAATTGTGTCAATATGTAATCTGAGCTGAGAATTTTGAAGAAAAACCAAGCAGGGTGAGGGAGAGAGAATGACCCGAGGCAGGGGTGGGGGGCCTGCTCTTTGAGGTAGGGTGGCTAGGAAGGCCTTTCTGATGAGGTGACTCCAAGCAGGGCCCAGCAGGAGATGAGGGAGAAGCAGCAGTTTGGAGGAAGTCCTTCCCGGTGGGGGGGGGGGGTGTGGCCACAGGGGCAGATCCTCCAAGTGGCCAGTGGCCTGGCCTGTTTGAGAAAGAAGAAGTCACCAGCTGAACTCCTGGACTCCACCGTTTCCTTGTCTGCAGGCCTGTGGGCTTGTTGGGAGGAACGGATGAAATCATTTATAGAAATATTTATGTCCACCATCAAGCACTGTGTAAAAGTTGTCCTCTTTGTGTTGACTTTGTCAAGTTTTTGTAGAGTGTCTAAACCATCAGGATTATAATTATTATATTACAGCTCTGCCCTTTCCTTTTTTTTATTACTGTGGTGAAATTCACATAACAGGGCGCCTGGGTGGCTCAGTTGGTTAAGCGACTGCCTTCGGCTCAGGTCATGATTCTGGAGTCCCGGGATCGAGTTCCGCATCTGGCTCCCTACTCAGCAGGGAGTCTGCTTCTCCCTCTGACCCTCCCCCCTCTCATGTGCTGTCTCTCTCATTCTTTCTCTCAAATAAATAAATAAAATCTTTAAAAAAAAAAAAAGAATTCACATAACATACAATTACCTATTTTAAAGTGTATACTCCAGTGGCCATCTAGTGCATTCACACTCTTATGCAACTACCACCTCGGTCTAGTTTCAAACTTTTTATCATCCCACTCTTAAGTTTTTCATATTAGTTTATGTCACCAGTCTTGAAAAAAGGTCCCTCCCCCCCATATCTGACTTTGTCCTATCTGTTTCTGACTGGCCTTCATCAGTTCCTATGACTCATCCGTGTGTTTATTCAACAGATATCGAGCATCTACTATGCAGTAGGTACTATGCTAGGTAGGTACTGAGGTCACAACAGTGACAAAGGACACACAGGTCCTTGCATTTAGGGGACTCATAATCTAGTGGGGATTTAGACACTGAATATATAATTACCAGAAAATTAATTTAAATTAGATCAATGCTTGGGATGCCTGGGTGGCTCAGTGGGTTAAACGTCTGCCTTCAGAGGCGCCTAGGTGGCTCAGTCATTAAGCATCTGCCTTCAGCTCAGGTCATGATCCCAGGGTCCTGGGATCGAGCCCCGCATCAGGCTCTCTGCTCTATGGGAAGCCTGCTTCTCCTCCACTCTCCCTACTTGTGTTCCCTCTCTTGCTGTGTCTCTCTCTGTCAAAGAAATAAAATCTTAAAAAATAAATA